CAACCAGGCGGGTCACCCTGTCATAGAAGATTTATACTTACTGTCCTTAGTGGTTTTGTAGAGTTCCTGAGAACAGCTTCTGTGAGGAATTTCTAAAATAAAACTAGCCAGTAGATAGATGCTATACCTGGCTATAGGTACTATTGATTCTTCAATACAAGTGACTTCCACACATCTATTTTATAACAAATTACCTATTTCAATTTAGAATTTGCCACCAATTCGAAACAAGGCTTTTAAGAAAAAGAAGAAAAGCAAAAGTAAAGTCCCTTCAAAGATAACCACGGAGGAAAACAAGAAAAACAAGATCAAGTCTTATGATTATGAAGCATGGGGAAAACTTGATGTGGTGAGTCAGAATATTTGCTTGTTAAGTTAGTCTTGTCCCCAGTTGATTCTCTCTTAAATAAGATTTTGTTATAGTGCTGAGAGTTCAGTCCACAAGTCAGTATCTGAATGTTGAATACTGTACGAACATAGAAAGTAACTTTCTTCCAAAAAGATCGTGTGTTGAAAATTTGGAATATTGAGAAAAACTTGAGTTTTCTATTGACTGTGATCTCATTCAGCAGGTTGAATTTGACTTTAAGGAGAAAAAAAAAAAAAAAGATTTAACGATAGGTCTATTAAAACATCATAATTCTAGTAGAATATAAGACTAAACACAGCTGCCAGTATTAGAGGATAGTTCTACACTTCTGAAGTGTGGAACACTCCTTAGTAGAGAGGACTTGAGCAGTAGAGGTTTTTAAAAATACACTACTAATTCTCCTAAAGTCCTACTTGTATTATTTTGCACTGTTAAATTTAATGAAGGTAATAGTTTATTTTATCTGATTTCAGGATAAAATACTTGAAGAACTTGATAAAGAAGATAGTACTCATGATTCTGTATCTCCAGAATCGGACTCTGAAGAAGATGGAATTCGTATAGATGCAGCAAAGGCTCTTGCAGAGAAGGAAAAGGTTATAGCATTATAAATGTTTGTTATTTGCAAAGTGGCAATTTAAATGAAGGAGCGTTTGTAGTTTCTTCTGTCCACTGAGACAACGTTACTGGTGGGAGAATTGCCCATTTGAAATTTTTCATGTCTATTTTCCTGCCCATTATTCCAAAATAGAAAATTGTCACTGCATTTCTTCTCATCACTGAGCACAGCAAAGCCTGTCAGACTCTACTTAATATACGTTTGTGATGATTGACGTGTTGGTGGCTTTTTGCTTTGAGAAGCTGGATTGCTGTTTAGAATTACTATATGGATTGAACTGGTGTTTACCTGAACACAAGGTCTGAATTCCTCAAACTAAATCCCTAAGAATTTAAGATTAGTCCCTTTACAAGGCCAGTACGTCTGGGAATGATGAGTGAAACTTTTATGTCTTCCTTGCCTTGGTAATGCCAAGTTGGTACCTGTTCAGTTTTGCCTTATTTTTGCAAGTAGAATACAGCAAGACCTATTGATAGGCTAAGTTGCATAGCAGCTTCTGTGGCTCTGAGAAACTTCTTTGTTTACAAACAGTTGCCTAATGCCATCTATCAGTCCATACTTTTTTTCCAGTAGAGTTTCTTAGGTGTTTTTTTTATCATCTGCATGGGTGACATCTGCCTTCTTTCCCTGCTGCTTTGGAAATTCCGTGGTGTATGATCTATAGTCTACACTGAGAAGTCGAGATGTCTTTGGCCATTATCATCTTGGCTGCAGTGAAGCAGTTGAGGGCACATAGGATAAGAGTCGTGTCCCAAAGGACACCGAAATGAGAATACATACCTTCGAAAGCAAAGATGCCAAATCTAATTACTAAAAACTCAAAAAAACCTTCAGTAATTCTCTATGGCAATTTAAGCAGCTATGTATGTGCTTGTTGTAGGTTTCTGGAAAGGACAGAGATATTGAAAATCAGTATATAATAAAAACCTCTTATTGCATAAACCAAGAGAAATATTTAATATGGGATACTTAGAATATTTTAGCTAAATGTTTCACAGTAAAGCAGTATTTTGAGATATTAAACAAAAACGTCTGAGCATTCTAAAATACAAGCTTTGAGGTTTTTTACCAAAAAGTAGTAATATGTCTTATCCATGTACAGTAATTTGCTAATAAGACTTTCTTCTATTCACAGGGTAATAACTACTTTAAACAAGGGAATTTTGATGAAGCTATAAAATGCTACACTAGAGGGATGCATTCTGATCCATACAATCCAGTATTGCCCACAAACAGAGCATCAGCTTTTTATAGAATGAAAAAGTAAGAGTTGTGTTAAGTCCTTAATATTTTCTTCTTTGAAGTGCTCCCTTCAGACTTCTTGTCTGGTTTTAAGTCTTAATTATATTATTTATCATGCTGTAATACAGTCTGTGTAAGACTGCTGTTGGAACCTACTTTGCAGTTTCAAATTAAAATAGAAATTGCCAGGATAAGGAATTTCGTAGTCTCTCTCATCTTTTTTTTCCCTCTCTGCTTTCATGCTGGAAGTTCACTATCTTCTGTGTTACAGTGTAAGACTTCAAAAAAGGAGAGAGAAAGTTTGCTATCTAGTTTGCCTTTCAGATTCAGTGAGCTCTATTTCTAAGGCTTTAATTTGTTTTGGGAGAAGAAGGCGTGTAGGAGAGTTGGTTATTCCTTCTGTTGCAGTAGCGATTGTAGGCCTGTGTTTTCCTTTCCTCTTTTAATGTGTTCTGAATTGAGAGATGTTTAAATACTTGTTCTGTGCCCCTTCTGAAGCATGTAAGATTTCCACTTTAGAGACAACTTGTAAAGCTTCAGAGTAAGCTAACTTGCTGAAGCTTTGGGTTTTGTTACCTAGATGTGTCCAAACTAACTCATTCATATTTTTGATAGGTTTTCTGTTGCAGAATCTGACTGCAATTTAGCACTTGCATTAGATAAAAATTACACCAAGGCTTATGCCAGAAGAGGGGCTGCTCGCTTCGCTTTGAAAAATCTTCAAGGTGCTAAAGAAGGTGGGTCTTTTAAAAATTTAAAAATTCTTTCCTTAAAATACATACAAACTGTTCCTCTATCTCCTTGATCCAAACTCGTGCAATTTGCTCGTTTGGTTTAGGAATTTAATTTTAATTTGCTGTAAACAAATTGAATACCATATTGCATGTTTTTCTGACAAGGTAAAATTCAAGCAGCAAGTCTAAATGATTACTGTAGATACTAGTAGTTGTAGAATAATTCAGCTTTAAATATCTTCAAATAATGTGTTCTCTGTAATATCTCAGGCTTTTTAGGTAACTACAAAAAAGGTTTATCTCAAAAAACTGCTCTTATTTTATGCTGTGGTTAATCTACCCTGTAGATTCTACTGAAACATTGTTTTCTGATCTTCTGATAGATTATGAAAAAGTTTTAGAGCTGGATGCAAACAACTTTGAAGCAAAAAATGAACTGAAGAAAATTGAGCAGGTAATAAGATTAATAGACCCTAACATAAATTAATGCACCCTATTCAGTTTGTATCTATATCAACTTACAACAAGAACTGAAACCAACAAAATCTCATGTGATTTTTCTGACGTTTGAAGTTCACTGAGGTCAAAATTGAGTTTCTTCTAGATTAACTAGTGTGTATGCAAACATCAGTGTAATGATGAGTCGGCAGACTAAAACTGGATGTGTGCACCAGTATCTGTGTTTTTTTAAAAGAGCATAGAATCTTTAATAAAAGATTTAAAAAAATTTTAAAATCATTTTGCAAGGTCTGTGTTTTTTAAAAGGTCCTCCCTAAGATTTTTTTTCTTCTTCCTGTGTTAATGTTTTTTTTCGGTCATGCTTAGTATTTTGGTACAACGTAGCACTACATATGAGAGCACCTGTGTGTTCTTTTGTCTGTGAGGCTGGGCTGCTAACCTTGTGCTAACCCACCAATTGCAGTGGTCTATCAAACGAGAAAGTAGGTTTAAGCCTAGCAGAATATAATACTCTTCTGCATGTCCCTTTCATGACAGGGAGAGAATGCTGATTATGATGACCTTAGTAATTATAAGCTCACCTGTCATTACTGTGTGAATATACTTAAACCTCTTTGACTGCAGTTTTGAGAGTGCTTGAAAAATTTATTTTCAGAATGAAGACCCAAAGTTTCCTGTAATTCAAGAAATAAATGATTTGTGAATTGGAATATATATAGGCAGATTCCATGGGTTATTTTACGTTGTGCTTCAGAAATTACGTAGTCTTTATTTACCAAAGAATATTGTAACTCGCAGTATCTCATAGAAATACATTTTTGAGAACAGTTTAGAATGATCTTTTCAATTTGTGTTCAACTTAAGACATAGGCACTTCCGTTAAAATGCTTGACAGATTTTTGCATCTTAAAAGTTTAGAAGTTATCATGATTTATGTTCTGAAAATGTGTAAGTGAGGGATATAGTTACTGATGAAAAAAATACATTTTTGCAGGCTCTGTCATCAAAAAGTTCAGAACAGAAAGAGTTTGAAGATGTGGCCAGACCAGAATTAACAGATGAGGAGAAGAAGCGTATTGAAGACCAGCAGCTCAAGCAGAAGGCTATTACAGAAAAAGATCTGGTAAGTCAGATTCTGGTGGAACAGCAGAGAACCAGCAAACAAAAGTGTTGTGTTGTGCTATTAGCTATGCAAATGTGTAAATTAAACTTGATACTGTCTTGAACTTTGCAAATAAAATGTCTTTGGTGTAACCTTAATTGTTTTCCATTTTGGGCTCTCTAGAGATGGGAGGGGGACAGTGAGTTCCGTTCGGACTCTTCTGGAGGAATAATTGTACAAGGTAGCTTTTACAGCCCAAATTGTACATGATAAATTTCAAATATGTAGTAAGATAAGTAAAAGTCCAATTGTATTTTACAAAGATTTCATTTTTCCAGTATTGTATGATATGCATCTTAACCCCTGCTTCTCCAAGTAGAGTTGTGGACTATTTCTTTTGCTTTCAAACCTCTGATTACAAAAAGTTACAAAAAGAACTTGAGGTAGTGCAGACAATCATGACAATAAAACATATTTCTGGATTCATGGTCTTGAGTTATAGTTGGCTTATTGATTTCTGACTCCTCCCCACTGTTGCAATTAAGAAAAAACATTGTCAACTGAAACATAATTTTCTTTTTGTTCTCTTACCTAGCTATTTAACTTCTGACTTTTTATCAATATTCGAGTTTCCTATACTGGTTGTAAGAGGTAATCAGTAGAAAAAGAATGAAAGCGTACATTAAGCAGGTAAAAGGAACAAAAGTTTGAAGAGACCATAGAAAAGAAATTTCAATCTAGTGCAGTATTTCTTTGGTAGCAGAATTGACTCACTGTGGGCCTGTTCCTGGCAACATGGATTGTGTCATGTCTGAACTGTGGTCTTCCCTTTTTTTGCCAGTGAGTAGAGTAGTAGCAGAGAAGGTGACACATGACTTTATATTGATTTTGAGGAGCAGAAGATAATTTTAGTCTCTTGGAAACAAAGTAATGTAATTTTGTTGTATGGAGTGTTAACTAGAAAGTAACGGCAACGTGTGGGCCTAAGTAGTATTTGAGGATAACAATTTCATGGATTGTCGTGGGTTAGGCTGACCCTCCCACACAGCCGGTCACTCCCCCTCCCCCGCCCCCAGGAATGAGGGAGAGAATTAAAGGATAAACGGGAAACCCGTGGGTTGAGATAAGAACAATTTAATACAGATGATTTAATACACAGCATAGATGCTCACCACCCCCTCGTATGCGAAGCCCGTCTCGTCCCGAAGCTGCAATCCCGGACGAACGCGAGGGGCAGAGAGAGAGAGATAGTACTCCGAGAGTGGGAGTACTGGGGGAGAGAGAGAGAGAGAGAAAGAAAGAAAAACAATAGAGCAAAAGCGCAGCAAGCGCAAAAGAGCAAAAGTGGCAAAAGAGCCAAAGCGCAAAAGCCCTTCTGTCCGGCTGACCCTCACTTTTATACTGGGCATGACGCTGCATGATGGAATACTAATTGGCCAGTTTGGCCCTCAATCTTAAGTTCCACCACAAATCACAAGGGGAATCGTGTCCCCCTTATCCCGCCGTGTTTCTGCACTCCGGCACACTGAAAAGTCCTTGGGGTTTCACGTCCAACCACAAACATCAACTTGCTATCAGCATTCTTCTCAGAGCGAGCCTCTGAGTAAAACCAAAACACGGAGCTCTTCTAGCTGCTAAAAAGAAGAGCTAACCTGGTCCCAGCTAAAACTGGGACATGGATGTAGCAGGGTAAAGATGGATTTGTGCAGCACAGGAAGTCGTTGTGGAAGGCAAATTGTAAAGATTCAGCTTTGTTCAGCTAGTGTTTAAATTCAGGAGGTGCAGCATGGATTGTACTGCACACCAAGAGTAAAGAAAAATCTGAAGTTATACTTAACAAGTCTGCGCTTAAACTGTGCATGTAGCAAAGTTGTTTGTTTGGGGTTTTTTTTGTCCTTGAAGTGCTAGACAAAATCAAGATTTTTTTTGTGGTCTGCCTCCGAGCTTAGATATGAAGAAACATGCCATAAGTATCTGCCCTGATGTCGGTGTTCTTTGTGACCCATCTTCTTCATATTGTGACCTTGTCTACTAGAAAGGGTAAGAAAAACTCGTTGCACTTCATCTTTCTCAACGCTGTTTTTTTCTAACCTAAATGTTACAGGGTAATGGTTACTTCAAAGAAGGAAAGTACGAGGCTGCAGTAGAGTGTTATACCCGCGGCATTGCAGCAGATGGCACCAATGCGCTTCTGCCGGCCAACAGAGCCATGGCCTACCTAAAGATGGACAAGTAAGTGGGATTGATTGCATGTGGTATGCTGTTTCTTTGTTGTGAACTAGACGGAAGAATGATCCAGTAGATTTTCACTCAAGATTAGTTACTGTCACTCCTAATTCTTTTTAGAATTCAGTATAGAATAAATCGTATTGAAAACAGTAAGGGAGAGAGGAGACCTCAATATGTGTGATGTTACTATGCGTTTCATAGGAAGGAAATTATGAGGCAATAAAAGAGCATCAGTATGAAATTACAGTTTCTTAAGTCATTCTTTTTTGTGTGTAAAAATTCTAGATACTCACATTTTTCAAAGAACCTGCCCAAAGCTTTTTGTCTTTTTTGTCTATAAAACCCAGCCAGCTAGTAAGTGTTTCACTGCAAAAAGAAGTGGATTATAACTTCTGACTTCGAAGGGAATGGATAGGAGTTTTTTCTGGAAATTGTTATTTTTTAAAATAAACTCCACTAATGGAGACACGTATGTGAAGTTTGTTTTTTTTTTTAATTAAGTTTATTCAAATAATCAAGTAACAGTAGGAAATGCATGCTTTCTAGCAAAGGAGAGAAATTCCATGTGGCCATTTTTTAAGTCTGAATTTTTTTTGCCTCCCTGATGGTACGGTAGCTTAAACCTTTTGAACTGGTAGCTTGAGAAGCAGACTGCTGAACGTTGTGTGGATCATCTGTTCTAACGTCATGTGGCTGGGTATCTGTAGCGACAATACATTGATCTCAAATGATGAAATTATAAACCAGGTTGCATAGGTGGTATCTCTTACACATTTGTAATTTAGTACTGAAGCCACAGAGGACATTGTAATGCAAATAATGTTCTCAGAGAATCAGAGGAAGTGATAACTTTAATTGAAGGACCAAGCAAGAAAATCGATTCTGTGTGATAAATCAGTGTATCATCCGTCTTTACATTTCAAAGAGAACCAAACATAAAATGCAACAGAAGCTCATTGGTATTATTGTAAACCTTCTAATATAACTAAATATAACTGGGATGAGGAAATTTGATCTTACAATGGAGCAAATGACTTTAATGCAAGGATATACCGACTTCTCATTCTTGAAATAGTTAAGGTCAATTCACAGAAATTCAGATGTAGAGAAAGTTATTCCCTGAAAGGAAGTTGTAGGGAGATGGGGGTCGGTCTCTTCTCCCACGTTATGAATAACAGGACGAGAGGGAATGACCTCAAGTTACGCCAGGGGAAATTTAGGTTAGATATCAGGAGAAATTTCTTTACAGAGAGGATTGTGAAGTATTGGAACAGGCTGCCCAGGGAGGTGGTGGAGTCCCCATCCCTGGAGGTGTTTAAAAACCATGTGGATTTGGTGTTGAGGAACATGGTTTAGGGACCCTGACAATGCAGGGTGAATGGTTGAACTCGATGATCTTGAGGGTCTCTTCCAACCAAATAATTCTATGATTGATATATGTTTGCTTCTCCTTGTATTTTTTGCTTGTTTGTTTGTAATAGTATTTCTAGTTTTCAGAAGTACAAAGCTATGACACAGACTTTCATTTTAAGGTTATGCAGTGTTTAAAGTGAACTGTGCTTTGACTATCTTTAAGCATTTATTTTCACAGAGGAAGTGAATTTCTCTGTCATGATAAAAAAAGTCATCAGGATATCATGAGATACCAAAAGATTTGGCTGAAATTTCAAGGTGCTGAGAAATCATATTTTATATATTTACTTCTGGTTTACGTTTTAGCTCAGTGGTGTGTGTTTTTTATATATATATGGGTAATTAAGATCTGTCCTTGTTTTATATATTTACTTCTAGTTTACGTTTTAGCTCAGTAGTGTGTGTTTTTTATATATATATATGGGTAATTAAGATCTGTCCTTATACCTTAATTGTTTTGAGTAGCTCTGTCTCTTTTTGGTTGAAGCTGCATCTTGAAACTGATTATTAATTTTGTACTACTCTTTTGCTGAGATATGAAGAGGCAGAGAATGACTGTACGCAAGCTCTGCTATTAGATGCCTCCTATTCTAAAGCCTTTGCCAGAAGAGGAGCTGCCAGAGTTGCTCTTGGAAAGCTAAAAGAAGCTGTGGAAGGTATGACTTTGAACTAGCCTAAATGTGATAGATCGGAAATGAGTATAAGGACAGCCTGATTTTTTTTCTTAATCTTTTAACAGCAATTAAATCAATTGCTGACTAATTGAGGTTATCAGTGGAAAAGTTAAGAATGATGGGGTTTTGTTGTGTTTCGTTGGATATGTGTAAAACCTTATGTGTTTGTATCCACATGTTTAGAAGACAGTTTTGTGTGAAATTATAACTATTGTTGCTTATCATAAGTAGTAAGAAATAGTTTGAAAAATGTGTTTAAAAACTAGATCATGATATAAGCATAAGGATGACTTATCTGCCTTTAATTATTTTAGAGCTATGGAAAGAAAATAGAAGGTTTAAAAATTTGCTGGGAGTACTTCGTAACTTGAAATGTCTACAGTTTTCATATGTTGTTTTTCACTTAGATTTTGAAGCTGTTCTGAAGCTGGAACCTGGAAATAAACAAGCAATAAATGAACTCACTAAAATAAGAAATGTATGTATACTTGTGTTTTGTGGGGTTTTTTTTTGTAAGTCTGTAGTAATAGCATTTTCATTCTTTTATTATGTAATTTTTAACATATCCTGTAATTATTCCTCAAACTTTTCATCTTTTGGGCAACTTACCATTATTTTTCAGGAATTAGCTGAGAAAGAACAGTGGACTCATCAAGAATATCCTGCAGTTTTGATAAAAGAAAATGAAATCAAAAATATAGTGAAAGTGATTGAAAATCCTTTACACCTGAAATCTATGGTAAGTTGTTTTGTTTGGCGAGTTGCTTTCTATAATGGTAGGAAAAGTAGAGCTTAAAACTAAAGTCCACTTTTTGCTTGTTTATGTAGACTAACTCCTGATACATCTATCTTGCCTATGGAAAGCCTAAAATTTACAGGCTTACTCTTGCTGTTCTTTTAAGAACATAGCTTCAGCATTTCCATGTATGCAATAGTAGCGGTGCTGTAAGCATTCAGCCTATAGTATCACACTAGGGAAACATGGAATGTGCGTCTGTCTGTAATATGAAAAGGGGAGGCAACCCCACAACCTTATCCTGGGTCCATAGGTGAGGTTGCAGTTTGAGAGTAAAAGGGAGGCAGTTGACTGCTCTGATTGCAAACTTGAGAAAGCTCTGGGTAAACTTCTTTTCATCTGCTATTTACAGTTTCTATAGCAGCTGTAGTGGTAACAAGAGGTGTCCTACCCGTGTCATTTGCTGGTGTCACCTCAGGCTACTGCAAGAGCTTGGAGCCTGTGTTTTCATCCCCTTAAACTCATATCATACATATGACAAAGTATGATAATGCAGAGTAAGATCAGCTTTTTTAATGTATTAGGTGTCCCCTTGCAGTACATTTAATCTTTATTCAGCAGTGAGTTGTGTAAATACAAGGCATGCTTACGTTTTGTATGGAGTGTAGTGTTCTGCTCTTGATGATTTCAAAATGGTTTTTTACTTCCGTTAAATATATAATTCAGATGGATAGTTTTAGTAGAAAATATGTGATTATTTTGATCTTTTGGGGGGAAGGCAGGGAAGTATTATGTGCTCTCCATAACCAGATACAATATTCCTTTAAACCTAAATTAATTTGTTATGAAGTAGCTGAAATACTATAGTCAATTATTTTAAGTTTTCAGTTTGGCTGCTAAAGTAAATGAAGACACTAGGTTGATTGTTTTTTCCTTGTTATTCTGTTAAGGTAGAACAAGTATAGATGAAGCATCTGTGCTTTTAGTACTGCCCAAGGATTGTAGAGAGTGCTGTAATTTTGTTGCATATCCACCAGGCAGCCTCCCAGGCTTAGCACAGTGATGAGATGGTGTATTCATAGAATCATAGAATGGTTAGGGCTGGAAGGGACCTTCAAAGGTCATCTGGTCCAACCCCCCTGCAAAGCAGGGGTGTATTGTCAAAGCAAACCATGTATTGTCTGTCAATACACTAGCAAGACAGGGTTTTTTTGGCATGACTTAAAGCGGTTTGCAAACTGCACTGAAGACTTATGATGGGGATTGTGTTAGAGTTGGACAGAGAAATCTGCCATTTCTACAGGTCTAATTGCTGAGTGTGTTTAGTCGTGTGTATTTTCATCTGTATTTCTAGACTATGTTCAGGAAATGAAATTCCAAAGTAAAAAGTGATGAATTTCTCTCCACTCCTCCACTAAATGGTGCTTGTATGTAAGACCTGTGAAGGTGGTGCTAGGTGATGGTCAAAAATAACAACAATCTTGCAGAGATAAAACAAGCTGAAGCATTTTAGTTAGCATGGCCTCTAATGCTGGAATTAATTACCTTATGATGTATGTAATTTGGTGAACCAACAGGGCTGAGTTACAGGTATTTGTCATCTCAAAAGTTTAAGATCAGGGTCAAGGCCTATGTTGCTGAATACTCACTTATTTAGCTAAATTGCAAAACTTGGCCGGATATGGTAGTCCTTCCCCATTCAGTTTCAGTAGGTGAAAAAAAGTAATCTTTTTTTTTCCTCTTTTTTTACTGGGAAAATGCAGATTTTGAGATCTTCTAGAGTAAGGATATACAGGTTTATGAGAGTAAAGCAATAAAATAATCATATAAGGCTTCCCATAGAACATCGTAAAGTTTCCTTTTTTTGCCATTTATCGTTACTGAAAGTGTCTTCCATGTGCACCACTAGAGACAAAGCTGGTTATCATGAGATTATTTTAAATTAAACACAGCTGCTTATCTGGGGCCTGTATATACACTGATGTTGGGGCTACACACATGACATGAGGCATGTGTTCTGTTTAGAAGCCTTTGCAAAGGATAGCCATTGAAGAAGTCGATGATGACACACCAAATAATGATTTGCCCAGCACTGCTTCTTTAGTCAATAACTGGAGGAATTCAATGAATGTTAAAACAACAGAGAATCTAGATCAAGATGATCAGTCGACTACAATGGACATTCCAAAAGCAAAGCACTTGAAAATAGAAGAAATCAGTGATACATCACCACTACAGTAAGTATAAAAATTCTGTTTCTCTTATTAAAAGGTAAATGTAGTTGCAATGTAATCTTCATTTTCAGATTTCTATGTGTGGCGAGATATCAAACCTATTTTGGAGAATTTGAATTAAAAAGAAAATACTGAAAGAAACTACAGTTTTTACACATCTGCCTCTTTGATCAACATGTGATTGAGACAAGTATGATCTGTTTAGTGTCAAATGGAAAACTAGTCTTATTCTTATATTTCAAACATAAAGAAATTCATGATATTTTCCTGTATACCATACTCTCTTCCTTGTGCACTTCATCTTCTCTATCTGTGATTTGTTTGTAATGTTTTAGAGTAGATTTTTGAGCAGAGTTCAAACATTCTTTGGAATGAAAAGGAGCAGAGGAGAGCATCGCCACTCCTTCATCTGCTGAGCAGGCAGTCAATAACTTCAGGTTCACTCAAAGTTCCCAAGTTCCACTGTGTTAGCTAGGCAAACTCAAGTCTGGCTGATTGAAACTAGGCTGAAGTATAGAAGCCACTATCCAAATTTTATCCCTGCTAAGTGCTGAAACTCTACTGGTTGTCTGCTGCATCAACATCATCTCATTCTGTTAATAGTAAATACTTTTTATGGAATTCTGATTGAAGAATTTCTATAAGAATCACCCTCCCACACCTACTTTTTCCAGCTTGGTCAGATGGATTTACTGTGAAGTGTTGAAGAAAGAAGGATATTTCTTAGCCATTTTATAACTTTTGAAAAATAAATGGACTTAACTGAGAAATTGTAGGACAAAAAAATAGCTCTGCCATAATCAGTGTTGAAAACTGATTTGTTCATTTGACGTGAATATTGTTTTGCATCATGAGATTGCAGAAAGTGTAGGATGTTTTTCCTCAGCTGTGTATGTACCATAAAATGCAGTTATTTCCAGAAACCAAGTAGAGAAAGGCTGAGTATATTTGTAAGTATTTGCAGATGCATTTTGTTTTGTTTTTCAGAAAAGTTGAATCCAATGTAAAGCTTCCACAATTTGAAGGGTGTTTTTAGATACCCACTTAAACTGAAATACATTATCTTTTAAAATTGTGATAGAGTTTTAGCTTTTAATGAATTGAAAGATCTCCAATTAGGTCTTAGTGGAGGATTTCCTTAAATGCTTTCTTGATTATGTGTTTCGAAATCTCTCTGCAGGCTTCCTGCCAGTGTGA